AAGTGGAGAACCTGGACATTATTTAGTAGTATACTGAAGGTAATAACGTTGTCCCTTATATTTTAGTAAATCCTGACGACTGTCTTTACATGAACAGACTTTCACCTCTTACCTGTCAGAGGTGTCTGCTGGACGAGGCTGGGGATCTGTGAAGACGTGCTCAGTAAATGGTCCTGGAGGTCCAGATCCCATTCCTGTGTGGCTGGCTGTTGACTCAGGCACCTCGGTGGCCTCTGTGGCTTCCTCAGCTGACTGGGCAGAATGAATCTTTCCATTCATGGGGGGAGCAGTGGGGGCTAAGGCACAACACCATTAAAATAAGTAACAGATTGGACACCTCTCTCATGCATCATCAGTGTGTTGCTACTGTGTTGATACAAAGATGCAGAAGCATCTTCAGCATGTGCCCACCTTGTCCTTTGTCCATTATGGGTGTGTCAGTGCGTGAGGAGCAGTTGCTGCGGGCAACGCTGCAGTTGGTGGCACAGCCGACCAGAGTAATACCAGCCAACATGCCCTCCACACCACCGGTGTCCTCGCCTCCCCCTACACTACCATCACCTGGATCCAACACAATCTCTCCTGCTGGATAGTCGCTCTCACTGGCAGCTGGATACAAACACACAGCACATTAACAAGTATGAAGGAAAACCATCACTGGCATCATAAATCAACCAAAACTGAAAAAATGTCACACCATTCAACAAGCCAGATGTATAAGAATGTGACCCAGCACTCTCCATCTCACCTGGCACACTGGAGATGCACAGGACGTGGGCATTGCAGACGTTGAACTGGTCGACCAGGGAGCCTGGCTGGTTCGCGTCGATGATGACCACCTTGCTGGCAGAGTGGGTGCTAGTGAGGATCCACACTCGACTGCTCATGGTGTCCGTTTCCTGGAGCTCCTTCGACTTGGACAGGGAGAGAGGAGAAAATATAATTATTATAACAACATGACGGCTAAGTGAAAAAGGACAGACATGGTTCATCTGTAAAAAAACAACAACGTGCTTCATGTTTTTGTGTAGTTTAATGTGTGACCTACACTATAATATGATAAATACCCCTCTGAAGCTGGGTGTCAGTAGATTAAGCCTACCTTCCTCTTCTCTGGGGAGTTGGGGCTGCTCTTCTTGTTAGCTCCGTCCCCCTCAGTGTGCAGGGGGTCGCTGTTGCCTGACAGTGCTTTGGCTGGTATCGACTCCTGGCTGCTGGCCCTCCATCCTGTCAGGTCCACTCCTGCTGCACACCACAACTACAAGCAAGCACGTACAGTACACACACACACACACATGCAAAACTTAAAATGATGAAACAGTTTGAACTTGACTTAAAAAAACCTCTGTCAGTTATTATAACTGTTTATAACTGAGGAATATAGACCATGCCTCTTTCCAATCCAGTTTGAGACGTCCCCACCCTGAGTCCTGCTACAGTCCCTGGTCTACGCACATCATTCATCTACATCTCACCCTCTGGTTTTCATCTGGTGCTCAAACATATTTGGGAAGAATTTATGCTTCATTCTTGCCTCATGTCAGCCCAAAGCAGTCCAACTGACCCCTAAAGTGCCCTTTGATTGACCAAAGTACCTTATGTCTCTTGGAGCATCTGTGTCACTTCATGGTTTTATCTCACCAACAACTGATGAGATGGTAGTAAGGCTGTAGCGATTAATCGATTATGATAATTAGTCGATTTGCATATTAATCGTCGACTTGTCATATGTAGGAAACAAAAAAAAAATTGTAAGACAAGTTTCAGTTTCACACTCCAGAGCAGATGGTGGCGGTAATGCGCCAAAAGCTGGATGCCAACCGCGTGAATATGCGGGAATACGATGTTTGTACAAACGCAAATACAAATGAAATAGTCCACAGTAACATTGCAATTTGTTAAATCTCTATTACACATATACACATTTTCTAATTACGCCACTTTTTTATCTCGTTGTCTGTTTCAGGGCCCCGCCACAAAGCACCCTAGATGACTTTTTCCATAAAAGGAGCATGAATCCATGCACACCACAGATGTCTGCTGAGCTTTCTAACAGTATCCTACACATGATTATTAAAGACATGAGACCTCTTGCAGTTGTGGAGGGTCAATGTTTTCATGAAATGATTAATACATTTCATCCAGGTATTACTTCACAGAGCTGATGGAGAAAAAATATGAGGCTACAGTTAAGAGTGTGAAAGAAGAAATGAAAAATGCTTCATCAAAAATCACACTCACTACTGATGCTTGGACAAGTATTGCCATTGAGGCATATTTGGGAGTCACATGTCACTCTCCAATGGTGGAAGGACAACGCAGCAAGGTTCCCCAACCTCACACATGGCCAAATCATACCTGGCTGTCCCTGCTACATCTACTCCATCTGAACGCCTTTTTTCAGATGCTGGGAACATTGTGACCAAAAAACAAAAAACAAAAGAGCAAGCCTGACCCCAGAGCATGTGGCCATGCTCACCTTCCTCCATAGTAATGCCTAGGTGGAGTAAGAGAAAGATGATGTAGAGAAGGCAAGAAGGAGGAAAGAAATGAAAGAAGGAGTGAAGAGAAAGAAGTGGACATTATGTTCTGTGCTTGGACAGTTCAGTTGATTAACTTGTTTGAAAAGTTTGAAAAATGTTATGCAAATTTAACAATTTGGTTTCACTATTTGCTTTTCACTTACAGGTAACAATTTGTAGGAGTGAAGAGAAAGAAGTGGACATTATGTTCTGTGCTTGGACAGTTCAGTTGATTAACTTGTTTGAAAAGTTTGAAAAATGTTATGCAAATTTAACAATTTGGTTTCACTATTTGCTTTTCACTTACAGGTAACAATTTGTGTTCTTCCAGAAAGTTTAAATTTACTTGGTTCATCTGTTTTTTCAATATTTTACTTGAATTCAAGTTTTGTTTTGATTTTACTAGTTTTATTTATTTTATAATTTTATTTATATACTGTGTGTTCTGTACAGTTAAGAGAAACTTTCATTTTAATAAAAAGTTTGAATGGTAGCGAGTCATAAAGAGAGTACAGTCACAGATGTGGTGTGTGGTTTAGACTAGATGAACTTTTATGAGCCACAGTATTTTCCCCTGAACTCCTCACCTTCCTGTTGGGGTCCTTCTCTACCAGAGGACGACAGTACACCGGGACGGGAACATTCTTCATGCGGTTATCCTCTTTTTCATTGGTGGTCTAAAAGCAGAGGTGACAATTGGTGAGAAGACAAGTAATGAATTATTGTCTGATTCCCTCAAACCATCTTCAATGTTATTGGCTACCGATGAAACCAAGAACATTCAGAGTTTGTGTATGTGCTGTTTACATGTACACTGCATCCACTGCAGGCAATTAAGGCAAACTCCACTGATGTCACCAGTCTGTGATGTTGTGGTCACTTTCTCACAGCCTAACATCTGCAAAACATGCTTTTAGGAGCAATCCTTCACTCTTGTATAGGAAATATCCTCATGTCACTTCATTTAAAAAGTATACGTCACCAACAGTATAAACAAAAAATAGCCGCCACTGTTCAATGTAAATGCACAGTATGTTTACGTATATGTTAAAGCCACTTTATGTAGGGTTTCACAACTCCTTATTGTGGCATACTCTGGTGGCTGTATATATTTTCAATGGAATTGTCTAAAAAAAAAAAACCCTACACTTAAAGTATACCGAGTGGATTTTTCCTTTCATAAACAATAGTGAAGTCAAACCAGAGCAAGTGATGACAACATCAGCGTGATAAGTAGGGTTGTTTGAGACAGACAGAGGTTAAAGGTTGAAACAACATTGGCAGAGGGAGAGAAAATCAGCTGGAGTCAACTCCACAAAGACAGGTTTTTCAGAGAGATGCAGCCTCACACCGTTGTATGTGTCTGTAAGTAGCATTTGTATGAGTTGAAACACAGGGACTCATATTATGCCTAAAAATAACCATTTCCTCTTGATTTTCATGCATTTCCAGAGATCACTTCTCATTGCTTCATTAAAACTGTCATGATGAGCTGTTAATATCTCAATTTGCAGAGCAGAGAAAATGTCTCCATTATCTGAATATGAATTCACAGTTTTGCTGGTTTTAGCTATCTGCTGCTGTCTAGGGATCGGGGCATTAGGGAGAAGGTTCAAGGGAGAGGAAGCCGTAAAGGTGCATGCTGGCACTCTGTCGGTCTCACTTGCCTGTCGTCTCTTCAGCTGGCTGTTCTGAGCGCTGTCCGTCTGACCACCAGTCTATGGGAGACCAGAGTTAGAGCCACCTGCCTACCAACACACTTGCGGCCTTCGAGCTGCATAGGGTCAACCCCAGTCTGCCAGCCCAAAATTTAAGGTGCACTTTGATGCTATGAAGTCATTTTATGCTCAAAACCAAAGTGGAAAAGACTGAGAGCCTTCCACTGTTCTGAACAGTTTGTTTAATTTAGATAAGTTCAGTGATATTGTCCTCATATTCAACATCCTATAAAAAGACCATAACCAACAATGAACTGATCCTACTAGCACGGACTGGATGACATGTTCCCTTATCCCAAAACTACCTTGTAAAAACTACAGTCTACAACTCTGTTATAAAATTACTGAGCCTAAAAAACATTAAACAACATATATGTACCCTGTAAAGTGCACGTCTTCATTAGGAACCAATAGGCTGGGCAGAGAGCAAGGACTAATTCATGGTCAGTTCTGGTCTTTTCATGGGATTTGTTAGCCTTATACTTTAATAGGACATTATAAGAGGTTTTGTTTGTTTTGGCTAATGAACTAGAAATACATTTTATGTTGGGTTATTAACAATTTTCTGAAAAGTAACACAGGCTTTTAAAGTGATTTCCTACCTTCCAAGCATCCACTACCATCTGTCCATGTCTCAACAGTATAAAAATCTACTTGCCAAAAAAGTTCACAACTTACACATGATAGGTTAAGTTGATAAGCGTTGTTGATCAATAACCAGTTTCTGTAGCATATCATTTTAATATATTGCTTTAATTATGTTGTAAAAGCAGGGCTAAAATTTGTACTTGCAGCAAATGTGCATAGTATTTCCAACTTCATTGTGATACAGTTTTTGTATTTAGTCAGATGTTTTTGTGCAGCCTCACTGTGGGTACAATTATTATTTAGACATTCTCATTTCTTTCTGACAACTCCAAATCATTTCTACATATTTTGAAATTTGGATGTCTCTTGCAGAGGTGATCCCATTGATTTTCACCAGTCAACGGTTATTTTCCTCATAAGCTGAGCAGTTTTAGAGTTTTGGTTGTGGAGAGTATGTGGAGACCCAGAGGGGTCTCTGCCCATACAGGTGAGTTGTGTGCGTGTGTACCTGTTTGAAGCGAGATGGCACGCTCCAGCCACAGGCCTGCATGATGCCGTCATCGCGGCGCACGTGCTCACGGACCTGCCGGTACTGTTCACGCCGTTGCTCTCGGCGGGCCAACAGTGCCGAGTCACTGAGGAGAGACGCAACACCATTACTGGCCAGTCTGGAAGCAACGGGAGGGAAGGGAGGGAAGAGAGAAAGAGAAAAAGCGAAGCATTAACAGCCTGGCCAGCCAGCAGCAAGAGACAGAGAAGAAGAAGACATGGAGAGGAGAGGAAGATAAGAATCGCAGCAGCTGTGGAGTTAAGAGCTCATGTTAAACAAAGCTTTGATGAAGCTGAAGGTGACCAACCTCTTCATCAAACTGAGACGATGCTTAGTACATTCAGCATTTCTACAATGAAAAGCAGAAAAACAGGGGAAATATACAGTTTGTGTTATTTGTGTCTGTATGTGAGTGATGTGTCTGAGGTCTGGTTGTATTAATGTGTGTATTAGTGAGAAAGAGCTTAAAAGGAACAACTGAGAACGAGACCATGTGAAAACTAGCTTTCCACTTCAAACTCTGCCATCTATTCCCAAATGAATGTATGATCACGACGGAGGCCACACTCACTCTTACAGTGCCTTGCGAAAGTATTCGGCCCCCTTGAACTTTGTGACCTTTTGCCACATTTCAGGCTTCAAACATAAAGATATAAAACTGTAATTTTTTGTGAAGAATCAACAACAAGTGGGACACAATCATGAAGTGGAACAAAATTTATTGGATATTTCAAACTTTTTTAACAAATAAAAAACTGAAAAATTGGGCGTGCAAAATTATTCTGCAAGCGATAATATTGAAATGGAAGGAGTATCAGACCACTGCAAATCTACCAAGACCTGGCCGTCCCTCTAAACTTTCAGCTCATACAAGGAGAAGACTGATCAGAGATGCAGCCAAGAGGCCCATGATCACTCTGGATGAACTGCAGAGATCTACAGCTGAGGTGGGAGACTCTGTCCATAGGACAACAATCAGTCGTATACTGCACAAATCTGGCCTTTATGGAAGAGTGGCAAGAAGAAAGCCATTTCTTAAAGATATCCATAAAAAGTGTCGTTTAAAGTTTGCCACAAGCCACCTGGGAGACACACCAAACATGTGGAAGAAGGTGCTCTGGTCAGATGAAACCAAAATTGAACTTTTTGGCAACAATGCAAAACGTTATGTTTGGCGTAAAAGCAACACAGCTCATCACCCTGAACACACCATCCCCACTGTCAAACATGGTGGTGGCAGCATCATGGTTTGGGGCTGCTTTTCTTCAGCAGGGGCAGGGAAGATGGTTAAAATTGATGGGAAGATGGATGGAGCCAAATACAGGACCATTCTGGAAGGAAACCTGATGGAGTCTGCACAAGACCTGAGACTGGGACGGAGATTTGTCTTCCAACAAGCCAATGATCCAAAACATAAAGCAAAATCTACAATGGAATGGTTCACAAATAAACATATCCAGGTGTTAGAATGGCTATGTCAAAGTCCAGACCTGAATCCAATCGATAATCTGTGGAAAGAACTGAAAACTGCTGTTCACAAACGCTCTCCATCCAACCTCACTGAGCTCGAGCTGTTTTGCAAGGCGGAATGGGCAAAAATTTCAGTCTCTCGATGTGCAAAACTGATAGAGACATACCCCAAGTGACTTACAGCTGTAATCGCAGCAAAAGGTGGCGCTACAACGTATTAACTTAAGGGGGTTGAATAATTTTGCACGCCCAATTTTTCAGTTTTTTATTTGTTAAAAAAGTTTGAAATATCCAATAAATTTCGTTCCACTTCATGATTGTGTCCCACTTGTTGTTGATTCTTCACAAAAAATTACAGTTTTATATCTTTATGTTTGAAGCCTGAAATGTGGCAAAAGGTCGCAAAGTTCAAGGGGGCCGAATACTTTCGCAAGGCACTGTATTTCACACATTTCAGTGTGCAACAACACAATGACTTTTCAGGTTTTTACCATTAAATAAAAATGTTCCAATCTTTCTAAACCATCTTTTTAATAACAATACAAAAAAGCTTTTGCCTTTATATGTTTAAATAATGTTCAGAATATTCTCATCGTTTGGGCTTGACAAGTTGTCTGAATGAAATATAAAGGCACTGACCAAGACACAAATCAGAAACTATGTCAGTTACTGAAGAACATGGTGAAAGCTGTTTATTCTTCAAGCTGCCACAAGCAAGCAAGCAACCAGGCATTCAGACCAAAGCAGAGTGGGAAGCAGATAAGTTATGAGCCTGAGTGTGAAGTGCAAGTTCAGCGAAAGTATAGAGCTTACTCTTCAGGGAAGAACTCCAGGGTACGGTTGGAGGTGGAGATCTGACACATGGTGTGGCTGCGTCTCTGAGAGAAACCAGCCGGTGAAGGAGACTTATAGTGGATATTGACACTGCAGTATGGCCGCTTGACAGGCGGAGGGCTGGACGATGAGCTGAAGAGACGTGCAAAGCTTGTGTATGGAGAGAGAAAAGAAGAGAGCTTTTACTTTTGCTGGTTTAGTCTCACCAAATCATCCCTTTAGTTTATTTATAATCACATTTAAATAATAAGTTTAACAGAAGCAGAATCTCACAACTGCCAGATGGTGGATTTCTTTTTCTCCTGGATGGGGGGGCTCTCTCGTGACGCCCTGGGAGGAAAGACAGGTGGAAGTTCAGATGAATGAGTGCACATTTCCATGAATGCTGTCAGTGTCTTATGCATTTCCTTTAAATTACATTACAAACAGAAGGTCTATAGCAGAGAAACTGTGATTTAAACACTATGAAATTAGGTTCTAAATAAAAGAGTGCAAAATAAAGTGCTACAAAAACAAAAAGACATGTATTCTTTAAAATTCAACATACATACATCATGATTTAGAACTTTTTTTTTTACAAGCTATTTTAGTATGTTGAGTTTAAACAGCAGTTCCTTTCCTGCGGTCATCCAGATGCTTTCTGTCTAGTCTAAAGCAATGTCTTTCTTCTGTCTACCTGATCATTTCTGTCCACCGCACAGCCTCCTGCAGCTCCATCAGTCTCTCTTTGTACTGGTTCCTCTCCATCAGCACGCGGGCCATCTCCACCCGAGTGAAGCGCCTCCGCTGTGTCATTGTCATGTCACCGTCCTGCATGGGTGATGAAAACTGGGAACATGAGAGCAAAGTGCCATTTTTTTTAAGTTAAAGTCTGAAAACATACATTTACAGGCAGCAAGAAACTCGCTATATTGGTTTATACGTGGTTTGTCTTACGTTTTTCTGCAGTGAGAGACTTTTATTGAGCTGATGTTAATATTTCTTAAGCAAATACACTGAATCTGCAAAAAAAGCAGGGATATCTCCAACGACTCACATCGTCACCTCCTTCATCCTTGGAGTCTCGAGAAGCACCAAGAGCCTCTGCTCTCAACCTGCGACACAAACACAAAAGCAGTTACAACTTTCCATCCACAACTTTCCCACCCATTCTCAGACTTAAAATGGTCTCGCTTCATAGCCCCCCGAGTGTATCTAAAGCACATTTATTTAGTGTTGTAAAAAATGTTCTTGTGCCTCTGGAACTGTGTCCAGGTGAGTTTTACAGTTTGGAGTTTACCACTTTATGGCCTGAGGATGTTGTAACACATCAGCTTTAACTGCAGCTAAAAGGTATCTTCTTCAAATTTAAGCAACTTCCTCCATTGACACAAAGCTGTCGCAGTGAAATGTAACTTATGTTACTCTTCTTCTGTGTCTTTTGCCAGGTTGAATGAATTAGTTTAGTCAACAGTAACTGTGCTAATTCTCCACTAACTAGTGTCTGTAGCATCCTCCAATATGTATTCCTCATTACTCTTGCGTCATGCTTGTTCGAAGACATTGTAGGATCATGAAAATGATGCCAAATAGGTAAGAAGAAAAAAAAAACATTTTATTATATTTATATTTTTATAGTCACCTCTTAAGTTCTTCTTCCTGTTCCTTGATTCTGGCGTCTACCTTGTTCTTGGACTGTCTCACCGCCTCCAGCTCCTCCCTAAGCACTTCCTGCTCCCCTGACAGCTCATCCACTTTGGCAATAAGGTCATTTTTCACAATGTTGAGAGCATTTCTGTCAAGCAAAAGAGCAGAAAGAGGAGGACGTAAGATACCGAAACCAGCTCCAGAAAACTACAATTTGGGCATTAATGTCCAAACGCTCCTCATGTTGTATGAGCTTTAAGAAATGGCTGCAAATATCCTGAATCTAGATCATGAACTGACCAGAGGAACATCATTCAGACATGTTTTACCTTTGGTTGAAATGCAATAGGTGTATATGGATGAAGATTAACACCAACACACACTCATCTTCCCTGTGTCTCTTACTTGGTCTCTAGGAGCTGCTTGTTCTCCGTCAGCAGGTTCTCGACCTCCTTGCCCATCCCTGAAACAGTCACATTAACATCTCTGTTACCCATCATCACACTCGATACACAACATACATAGATCAATCAGTTCATTCATTGACAAGGTAACACTGCCTTTCAGACCAACCAACGCCTGCTGATGGATCAAATATTTCTACACAGACAAAAGTTTAACAATTAGATTAAATTAAAATTAAGGAACAGGTGGCTGATTTCAGCCTTCATATGCCAGTTTAATAAAGAAATGTTCCACATTAAATATCTGGAGAACAACTGAGTAAACACTCATGAAACTGAGCTGGTGAGAACACGCATATCGACACAGCTTGACCAGAAACACTTCCCCTAAAAACAGAGCAGTTCATTGATGAAAATGATCAGAATCAGTGAGTGAACGTATATTCAGAATTCAGTTGATCCCCTAACCATGACAGTGTTAGTGTATTAATTTTGTTAATAAATCCTATTTTAACTTAATTACTGCTAGATATTCACTGATAGATTATGGTGAAGCAGCAAGCACTGTGCAACATAAGGAAAGCAAACAAACTTCAAGCACAAATTTCAGCACAGAGAAACAGTTGGACATGTCAAAAACAAACAAACAGAAGGTTCTTATTTATCAGGTGATGAGTGGTTTGCTACAGTCCTTTGGTTAACCAGGATTAGAAATTGTGAGAGGTTTATGTTGTGACATACGATCTAACTGCAGTCCAGCTTTCATCTCATGACAGCAGGCGCTGACTACAGTCCCACTGGTGCCATCTTTTTTTATATTAAACTTCATCATGCAGCCCGTTTATCTTCCAAGACATGCACATTCATTATTTTTTCCTTGATCCAAAGTTCTGTACTGTCTCTTTAAGATTATTCTCCAATAGTGTTTTCTTTCCAAACTAGCATTTTTATTTTAATGTTCTTTTAAGGGTCACCACTACTGGCAAAACATTTTCTATCTTATCCTTTGTAGGAAATCTTGGGGTGGGGGGCTGGGTATGTGCAAAGGTGGTACAAAATGTAAATATAAAAGCTGCACAAAAACAGGCAAAGAAGCAACCAGAGGGACATGAAAGCTAGAGGCCAGGGAATGATATAAAGGTGACCATGAGCATAGGCAAGGGGGTGCCTTACCGAAGAAATCATCACGGACTGGAGGCAAACGAGAAAAAAGAGAAAGGGTGATGAGTGAAAGAGGGGAGGACACAGATCAGAGATGAAGCAGGGGAAAAGGACAAGAAACGATGAGAGAAGAGAGAGGATGCTGATAAGCATTTATTAATTTGGATCTGAAAATGAGCGGCAGGGCTAAAGAACTAGAACAGTAAAAGCTGTCCCTTGGTCTGACACAGGATCAAGGATGGAGCAGAGCCCCGAGACCCAACAGACAATTTATTTAAATACTGTCAGATTTATTTTAAAGTCCCAGTGAAGCTGATTTTTAAGAGCATATTTCTTCCAAGGAACAATGTGTTTAGTATTTGAACATGAGGCTGGATGGGACACACTGCACTGAGGGTATTTCTAGGGTCATTCCAAGCATTTCCAATGAGGGGGGGAAGGATTTTCAAAAGTCTTTTTATACAATGGGCTGAGAATTTGAGATATGCAGACTGATGCAGGGCGCAGCAGTAACTACAGATTACAATATTTTCACTGTGACTTTAAAGGAATAACTGTTAATGCATGGTTTTAGATGTTGGGCATTTACTGTATCACCAAAATGTCCAAATTTCTAATTGATTGAACAAACAATAAAACAATAATTATATACTAATAATTAAAACTATAACAATGTACCTGTCTGAATTGTATAAACTGATTCATAATTACGCTTAAATGTGGAGTTTGGAGAGTAGAGAGGAGAAGAGAGATTAAAAGGAAGAGATACCAACCAATACATGTTCAGATACACACCTGAGAACTCCCCTATGGGTGTCACCAGCAGAAGCACATAAAAGGGGAAAAAAGAAATGGGTGAGAGGTTAACAGATGGACAAGAAGATGGGTCAAACCTCCCTTCCTATTTCTGATACATAAAATTCAGGGACAGCAAATCAAAATCCAAAAGGAACCCAGTTCAGACACCAGAGATAAAGGGAAACAAAATCCATGTGAATTCCCCCGGAGTGGGTGAATAAGCTGTTTAACATGCCTCTGTCCCATAAAAAATAGAATCTAAAAAAAGGCAAACCAACACAACTGACTGCATGAATGAACAAGCTGTGCTTGAGGGACTGTGTATTTTATCTGAATGACTGTGCAGTGATGCAGGGATAAGCTGCCGGCATGGAGCGTATTCCAGCCTTGGCCATGCAAGGTAAAACGTCAGAGTCAGTGTAGTGGCACATTCATACAGCCTCACATGGATCTCCGGCCCAAAGCAAAATCAAAGCTTGACTTGTGTAACGTGGACATGCATCCCTCTGTTTGGCTTTATACTTATTCTGTTCTTATTGAGTAATATTACATATCGGAATATGAGCATCCAGTGGAAGTCTCTGCCTTCACTTTCACCCGTTCAAGGTTCAATGATCACCTTTGGAGGAGGTGAAGGTGACAGCGCTTTTCTTTCAAGCATGTCCTTTGAAATAAAACTTACCTGTGACCAGTGACGCTGCTTACTTGTTTAAAGTTTCCTGGCAGCTTTAGGCCTCTTGTATAAGGATATTTACTAATGAATCTGTGAATCCACCAAAGCTATTGCAGCCCAATTCCTGTTCATACCTAGCAGCTCGGCGCCTGCATCTACATCTCCAATGATGTCTGACTTGGCGTCTTTAATCTCATGGTAGAGGGAGTCGGTGTTGATGCCGAAGGCCTCGTTCACGATGCCCTGGGAGGGGCTGAATCACACACAGATTAAGATTTCATTAGACAGTGACAGCGGAATTTAATAATTTCAACCAAAATATGACACTTAGGCAACCCTAGATACATTACGCTGGAATAAAATGGTTACAACTACACACAACATAACCATGTGTGCCGTAGTACATATGCCTAAATGTGCAAAAACGCAGATATGGTGCTATTAACCCCTTTGATAACGTATACTATAAATACATGTTGATCAGCTTTCCGATATGATATGTTGAAGATACAGGATTTTCTCTGGACACTGTTGATATGTGCTGTGTGTATGATGCAGCTGCATGGTAACTGTACCTGTTTCCTCCGCCATAGACACGGGGGTCCACACACATGTCCAGCTCAGGGGTAGAATCAATGATCTCCTGAAACTCGGACCACTCATCACTGCTTCCCATACCTGGAAAAACATGACCAAAAACACATCAGAATTACGTTTCAGCTGTGCTTCAGAAGGGTATAATAACATGTGCTTTGTGTTTTTGCTGCACTTTGCACAAAGGTTAAGAGTTATCATTGCAGAGTTCGGCGACATCCTCTTACCGATGCTGACATTCCTGGTTTCCTGAGAAACTTGTACCTCCATATTCCGGCTGAGCCTCTTGGCACCTTTCCTGCAGTTCCCAGTCCGCGTTACATCGAAATCGCAGTGTGGGAGAAATCCCTCATTGATGGGGGTGACGCTGGCGGAGGGGACGGAGGAGGTGGGTGTGTTGGACTTGCTTCCTGTGCTGCTGGGTGTGGCTGGTCAGACTCTGATCCATCCTCCTTTGTATACAGCGGTGGTATGAGACGACAAGGGAGCAAGAGACAGACGACATTATATGACCGTCATACAATGTAGATGGGATCAAGCACCAACTTTTTCAAATAACACATGTATGACTCATTTGATTTGAGTGTAAAAATACTGTGGATATTACTATACACTGTATTATAACGTTCATCGTTGGCTACTTTGGAAAGTTTAAGCCTTTGGCACTTATAATGGTAAAGTTGTAAAGTCAAATTGTGATCAGCTTTGCTGTGATAGACTTAGTTTGGTGACTTCTTGATGCATGAAACCAATAAATCCAAGTAATTAAGCTAATTTTTGTGAAAACCTTTTTGAATTGTTAGTAGATAGAAAGTTGATAGTTTGCACATTATATATTTATGTGATATATGAGATCTTTGTTTCATTTACCCTAGCTAAAGTCACTGTAGTTATATTTGGATGGCAAATTACATAGCACAAGTCAAAACCTGGCATAAGCCTATCTAAAGCCTAAAATGTGCTTTTAACCTACACTTATTACTTCAAAGCTGAATACCAGGCGCAGCCACAGCAAGAAAGCAACACTGTCCTTTTGTTTTTCTTACCTTGGAAGTTTTTTTTGTTTTGTTTTTTTGCACATATAAAGCAAGATATGACAAAGAACACGAATAGCACAGCGTAAAAAATGAGGACATTTAAACCCACAGGTTTAACCTTAATGCACAAGTGTAAAGTAAAGCATGATGACACACAGCAGAAGCTCCGTGGTCACACAGTAAACCCATGAAAAGAAAAAAAAAACACGGCCCCAGCTTGCTTGAGTCAACATACTATGTACTTAAAAATCTGACTTTAAAGGGCAGCTTTCCAACTGATGTGAATAAATAGTTTCCTCTAAAATGACACAAGCAGGCTTGGGAGGGGAGGCGGTCTGTGTGGGTGTGGCTAGCAGGACAGGCAGCGGTAAGGCTGACACCTCCCCCCCTTCTACGCTGCGGTTGTGGTCACGGAGGAGGACATGGCCGCTCTCTGTCCCACCTGGTAGGCGGAGCTGAAGGTAGACTGGCCGAGCTCGCTGACCTGCCAGATGTCTTTCCCGGGCATCATCCTAGCCCCCCCGAGACCCCCACGTACCATGCCCTCACCGCTGGGGTACAGGCTCAACGATGGTGGGCGCTGCGCTTTGCTGCCGGCAGAGGAGACACAGAGAGGTGGAGACCAATGTGAGACATTTATCATACATCCTCTCTCGTTCCTCTCCAGGGCTGGAGCCTATCCTGGCATGCATTAAAGGTGCAAGACACAAAACAAACTGGACAATTTACTAGTCCTTCAAAAGAAACTGACAATCACTCACACTCTCACTGCTAACTATTGTAAACCCAAAGAGAAAGTTCAACACTTTGGAAAATAGGCTTATTCAATTTCTTGTTGTGAGCTGGATGAGAAGATTGATACCACTCTTTTGTCTATACGGTATATATGCAGCATCTCTACAGCTCATGTCAAAATCACATTTGTTTAATTTGAACAAAAACCAGTGTAAAGAGAACAATTTAAATGCTGTAACTGATTTCTTTTTAACCTTCGGACAGAGCCAGGCTAGCCATTTCCTCTGGTTTCCAGTCTGTGTTGCTAATCTAACCAGTTGCATACACACACGAGACATGCATCAATCTTCTCATCTAACTCTTGGTATGAAAGAAAATAAGTATGTTTTTAGACCGTGTGGAGAAAACCAGAGCACCCTGAAGACACACACATGGAAACAGCAAAAACCTGCAATCAAACTTAGTTTCAGATCCATAAAAATGAGCATTATGGACATACAGAGCAAGCCAAGAATGGAAAGTTGAGGCCAAAGGAATCGCAGCTAATTGACAAGCCCTACAGTAAGAAAAGCTCTGGGGGCATGCAGTCCACTCCATCAGGGCAAATACATTTACTGCATGAGCTTCTTCTAATAAATAATAATTCATATTTCATCATCATATTATGTTAGACATAAACAGACCAGCAGAACAGACGTACAAACACATGGATGAACTGACCAGCAGACACAAACGCACAATGCAGAACGAGGAGAAGGTAGCGGAGAAAACTGGAATGCTTGAGTTACACTGCTCAACATGACATCGGAACCATTCCTCATTTCAAAATGTGTTATTACAAGCATCAATGACTAATAAAGAAAATGCATAAATAAATAATTTTTTTATAAAAGGGGCTAAAGCATAGCAACAGGGGGGGCATCAGCAATCCTTAACCAAGTTTAAATTCAGGCTGGTTTAGACCATGGAACTAAGGGAACCGTTGTGAGGGCAGTTGTTGAACATGTCGGATTTACCTTTTCCTCCATGTTTGACGTTGACTGTGCAAACAGCAGCACAGAGAGCAAGCCAGCAAGACACACAGACAGACAGACACCGATTAGGCACAGACAAGAAGACAGGAACATGCCATGGTACATGAAAGCACACACACACACACACACAAACATTTTCGTCTTTACAAGTCAACCTTTATTAGTAAACCGATGATAGTCCGAATGAGTTGTCCTTCTAGTCCTAGTCATACATTTTGTAAACCTCACCTGGGGCTTATGATGCAGCATCCAACACCAACCTCAGTCAGTGCTCTGCTTTACACAGCTGAAAACGTCTAGGATTAGGATGCATGTCAGTCGACACCGTAGCTGAACTGAGTTACAATACTGTGTTTACACTGAACACGCTGCAGGAGGAGACTGGTCTGAGGTTCAGCTACTGAAAAGCTGCACCAGGTGTCCCACTCGTTGTCTTGCCTCACACTCATAAACATTTACGTCTCGTGGGTTGGTCACAACAAGTTAGCAAATAAACTAAATAAACACGGCGGTTGAGTTTTTTTTAATGCATTTTCTATCTGTTAGTGGAAAATACAGGCTGATCATCAGAGCACCTGACAGACAAATGCCAGCATAGACACGATGGGCATGTTGACGCATGAAAGCCTGATACATTCAGAACGAAGCGCAAAACCTCAGCAACAAAACAATGGAGGAAAGTTGCAATTCAAGTAGACACAAAGATGTGCACGACAGCCACCCCAGCACACACATAAAATCACTCACGTTCGTCCACAGCCAGAGCCTTCCGATTGGCTGTTGCTCCCTGCCTGCTGCAGTTTGGACCGCTCTATGTGCTCGACATACGTCTGAATCATCTGTCACCCAACAAGAAAGAAAAAAATATGAGAGAAACGAGGGAGGGAGGGAAAATGACATTTTCAAGGACAAAAAAACATGAGAAATACTCTGGTGAGAAAAGGAGTTGCCTATAAAATGATTACAGGGATTGAATTATGAAATCTATAATCAACTACATGTTGGATTACTCGGACATAGTTTATGAACCAAAGGACAATCAGATTTTGAGAGTATAGAGCTCAAAGGACAATAATTGGGTTTTGCGTATTACTGTTTTAAACTGTTTTGTTTATTTTCCAGGCAGCCTCGACTTCATTTTCATTATGGGTTGGAAAGAAACTGCAGGGACTCGTGTTTGGTAATCCACCACAGTGACAGTTGTGTCTGTTTGTAGTTTGGTTACATTGGAAAGCAGAAAAGAATAACAATTCACTATCAAATTTAAACAGTTTCAAAGAAACATTTCAGCATTTGGGTTTTTTAAACTGGCCCAAAAAAAAAAACCTGAAACGTCTAAGAGTAGTTTGAGTTTTTGGGCTGGATGTTCACTCTCACCTCCGTGTGGCGCTGGTGCAAAGCGTTGTACTCCTTCTTCATGTCTGATTCTCGCTCCTCCAACCGAGTGACTAAGAGCCAGAGGCAGACAGTTTAGCAGCAAACAACCAGGAGAGACAAGGAAAAGTCATAAATCCAAATATCTGTGGCTCTAAGCCTTTCCAGTTGAGCAGTTCACATTACATTCAGTCCCTAATTACAGTATATTATAGGGGCTTGGGTGATGAAAGGTATCATTTCTTAATAATCGACAGAATGGGGAACGACAATTCAAAGGTGGGTATTTTAACTAATGCACAATTTTGTTTGCTTAACAGTATTTTAAATACTGAAGTGTTTGCGTCTAAACTCCACTGATAGAAAGGCATCAAGAAAAAGGAACACATTAAGGGTAGACAGAGAACAGGAAAAACTAAACAGTCAAGTTATGTTCTGTATGTATTCATAAAGTACTGACACGTGAACAACAGCAAATCAGCATTGACAATCTAAAAATACAACATCCCTCTGCAGTGCCTACTTCCCTTTCCATCTTCCCCACAGAACTATTCCTGAGTGTTCAGTGTTACTTTTGCTTTTGTGTATCAGTTAAAAGCTTGACCTGCGTAGCCATTCTATTCATTGATAAACTTTGCTAAAAGCTCGACCAGGTTTTGGGGCTGGTCCTTTAGAAACGACCAGATGTGCTACATGTACAGTGGCGTCTGTTCACTCACTCTGGTCAGAATAGTTCTTTGTTTTGAGCTCCAGTTGTTTCCCCTGCAGTTCCAGAAACTCCACCTGCATCTGTAGTTCCTTCTTCTCAGCTTCCAGCGCATCTTCAAATTCAATGAATTTCTGATGGGAGACACAGAAGCAAAATTACATTTACAAAGCTCAAAATATACCAAAGTATAACTGTATACTTTAACCACTGTGTTGTAAGAAACAACATACTATGATTGAATTGCATTATAGTTATTATAGTGTTGATGGGTATTTCAAGTAGTCACCTTTCAGGATGATTCAGGGTTCACTGTCAAAAATCAAATGAGTTTCACATGACATATCAACCAAAAGTGTCTGGATGAGAATAGTTTTTAAACTTTTCTCACTAAAGAAAGGTTGGAGTTGGTCAGATGCTCTATAAAACACCTGTTTGTCCTTTAGTGAACATATAAACTGGAGCAGCCAGCAGCTTCTCTTTCACACTGGCTGTTCTTTTTTAACAAAGCTGTTCACAATGACATCCTTTTTCAGTGCAGCAAGGCTACAAGTCTTAATACTGTAATCCTCTGACTGCAGGGAGACCATGGAACATGGAGTCAGCAGCAGATATCCACCACAGAAAAGACAAATGCTACAATATGAGAAAGACTGAATAACAATCCCCGTAAAACACAAAACCTGTTTCTCATATGTAGGGTGGAATTTAAAAAGGAAATCTCCACCTCTGAAGGCAAGAGGTAGCTCAAAGGTCTCAGAAATCACAGAAATGTGACTCAATCAAAGGTGAATCGGTGTTTTATTAACTACTGAGCTGAATAAACAGCCTTCATACTATGTGTTGTTGCAGCTTCCAGTGTAACAACAGAAAGCCACATTTATGTATGAAAAATCGGATCTGACAATCACATTTTCCAAATATGATTCTTCTTCCATAAAGGAAATCTTGTTGCCAAATGGAAAGAAGCAGAGCTGTTTCCTCCACTCATGTTGTGTGTCTTGTTTCAGTGAAGATGTGATAATGTAATAATTATCACCATTATGTTGTACAGCATCAGGCCTCAGCTTCATAAAGTAATATCCTTCTACTTAAATCCTGGGAACATGTCCTACAGCAAAGCGCTCCTCTGTCCACTGCCTCGCTCCTGGTTTAAGCTGGTTTTGTCTACTGAGCTATTTGTTCTTGGATGTTTGAACCTGCCTTTTTAAAGCCTAACCAGGAACGGGGGCTGCAAAGACGCCCCACATGCACTGCATCAGCTGACGGAGTGTGACGATGCTTAGTTGCATGTGTCCCTGTAAAATAAACAAATACCTTCCCCAGCATCAGACACACACACCATGAATGTCACTTTCGGCTTTTCCCGTTAGCTATGCTTTGTTAAGGACACACATTAGCTCAGAGGAGCTAATGTGTGTCCTTAACAAAGCATAGCTAAGTGTTTTTGCCTGCAGTGTGGTCACACTTACAGCTAATTGCGTACACTAAGTAAAACCAGAAGAGAGGGGGACGTGACAGCAGCGTCAAATGCAGCAGGCTATAATATCAAGTCTGCATCTTTACAATTATAATAAAACAATGAATAAAGGTTGTCAGTCCAGAAAATGGCCTGAGACCACACTGAATGTGCAGGACCGAAGCCGATAAGTTGAATTTTAGTTTGTGTACTAGTAACTAAAGGCAAAATACATAAAGAACGAAGGCAATAAGACATAAGATATGTGTAATCGTTTACTGTCATCATGCTTGGAGAAGTGTGAAACAAAGAGATGAGATGATTCCAGCAAGCAGCTGCAGAACTAGACAAAAAACTGGAGCAACAGAGATGCTAAGAAACGGCTGAGCGTTCAAGTCAGTGTAATACCAAATCCTGGACATCTGGTGAAGGTTTCAGGAACAGAGAGGGAGCTGCATCTACCGTTAGTTAATAACCTTGAAATCTGAGCTGCTTCTCACTCGCTGCTCCCTGTGTCTTGCAAGATGGTGCGTTGTTTTCCTCTAGCTCAGATTCTCTCTCACCCTGCTTTTGCTTCTTATTAGCCTTCGTCTCTGCCTGATCTGCCCTGTGCCCTTACTCCTTTAAGCTGCAGCTTTCTAAACCTCAGTTATTTCTTTCCCTCTGCTTCTGTTGCTCTGTTTTAGCTCTTCTTGAGCACAAATCAGGTTAGAGTGCCAGGCTCCGTCAGTGTGCTCTGTATACTATTGATTTCCTGGGATTTCCCACCCCTCGCATGCCGTCCCATCCCCCACTTTACCCCATGCACCGTCAGAAAGAAAACATCTATTTGTTGCATAGAAAATCGTTACCTAATTTGAACAAACATAAATCAATTTAGCTTGCCAGCTGAAAACATAGCCCTGCATGGAAAACAATCTTGAACACCTGCTGGTAAGAAAACCAAGAAATAATCTAATAAAAAAAAAAAAACAAGTGCAATCTGAATTACTGTAGTTTAAACACTACTTATTTAAAGCTTAACCTGTTGTGATTATGAAACCTAGATTCAGATGGAAAGATCCAGACAAAGTAATAAAGCATAAAACTCTATTCTCCGTATTAAACTACTGAGCAAGCCAGATAAAAGTAGAACTGGTAGCTCTACTGCATCAGTGTGTGTGTGTGTGTGTGTGTGTAAACTAGAGACCTTATCTGGATACAGAAACTGAAGGTAAATAGACCTCAATGACATTGCAAGTATTGAGCAGCATATTAAATGTTAATTATAACTCAAACAGAAACATGTTTATGTCATCTGAGAAGTTTTAAAACTGTCATTTCATGTCTGATGAGTTAAACTGTATCATCAGCTGAGAAAGAACAGTAAAATCAGACAAATGTGTTACTGTAACTAGTATTATTGATGGTTTTTGTGGTTAAGTTTCTCTCTTTCTGTTTAAAGCATGTTATATCATTCAGATTTGGTTAATTACGCTGTGCTGGCATGAAGTCTGACTCATAAAAATATAGGACATGTTTAGCACCTTTTGGTCCCTGTAGTGTCTGTGGCTTTCAACGGAACTACAACTTTATGATAAAGGATTTGATGGTGAAACAGACTAAAAGCTGAGCTAGGCTGATACTAGCAGTGCTGCCAGTGGGGGGTGTTCAAGTCGCCCTATGATGCCTGCTGGATCCCACGGTGCCACCAGTCAGAGAAAGGCGACAGAGAGAGGGGAAGAAAAAGATTTGCTGGAGGTGGAGTTTGACTGGTAATATAATAGCTTCATAGTGATGTTTGCTTTTGTTGTTTGTGCCCCTGTTCTTGCTATTTTCCAAGTATAGGAGCTCACTGAGAGTCACGCTGACACCAATCATTTCTTTCATTAGTTAGCAGACTGTCCCTTTATCATCATGCCGTCATATCCTTGCTTCATGTTTGCATATTTAGTGTTTATGCATTTGCATGACACTTCAGCAGAGCTGTATAGCAGCTCATGTATAAAAAAGGAGGGTTAAAATGAAAGTATGTTAGTATTAGCATTGGTATAAGTAGTGGAAGACACAGTGTTAGTGGTAGTAGCTGTGTTAGTAATAACAATGGTAGTATTAGTAGCAGATGTAGTTGTGACTGTAAAACGTAGTGGTATCAGCAGAGCTAGTGGCAGCACGAGTAGGAGAAGCAGCACATTCAAAGTAGAATTTTAGGTTCTGCCTCTGAGCACGGTTTACTGGCACATGCATAAAGAAACATTCCTTTAACATTCACATACAGATTTTGTGTGTGTGTGTGTGTGTGAGATAGTGACTGTATGACCTCTCAGCTCAAGTGGTGTGGATTCATTTTAATGTCCTAAATCAGCTAAGAAGATGTGATTTTAATGAAGCAGTCTTATTAAATAGAATTGTGACATTCTATAATGAATTTCCTTTTTGCTGGATGTAACTTTTTTCACTGTAATACATGAACTTGTAAGGTCTCCTCTGCCTGGGGTTATTTGCTGACTATAAATAAGTCAAAAACTGTCTTAAGCTAATGTGATTGGGGTAATCTAGCCTAAACATGAAAGTAAGTACAGTGTTGGAACATCTTCTACCAGTGGACACTTTTTAGCCAGTTCTAATGGTCATGGTGCATTTAAATGTTATAATAGGATTCATTACAGCTGTTTTTAACAATCTGACAAAACAGAAGACATTGTCAACAGCGTTAGCAGTAAAGTAAACTCATCCATCTCAGGCCTAAACATGAGTCACGGGTCTGATGAAACCCGTCAGCTGGATGTGATGATGCGGGTGGAGGCCCAAACAGACACCGGGGGTCACTCACCTCCTCCGCCTGTTTGCGGAGCGCTTTCTCCCTTTCATACTGGGTGATGAGCTGCTCGTTGTCCTCCTTCAGCAGCTCCAGCTCCACTTCGTGCTCCTGGTTTTCAGTCAGCACCGCGTCCAGGTTCTCCAGGACGTTCACCACCAGCGGCATCAGCTCTTTCACCACCTCTTCATCATAGCTGCGGATCAGCCGCTCGAACTCCCGGTAGATGCTGTTGGCGAGGCCGGACACCCGCTCCGACATCACAGAGCCGGAGCCGTAGTCGTCCTGGTAGACCACCTCGTCTATCTGCAGCTCCATCATCTTGGCAGGTGGAGCCGGCTTCTGTTTTCCAGATGAGGAGGCTGAGCTGAAAGTTTTTTCGGGCCTGTGAGGCGAGAGTGTCACGCGGTTTGGATCCACTCCGCGCAGAAAAAGGTGGACATCCAATCGCAGTTCGTCCTCAGGTAAAGAAAACAAGCAGCCTGTGCCCTTTTACATCAACACATGTTTACTGAACGAAGACTGGCTGCTGTGTGGGAGCATAGGCTAACCTTTATCTCGGTGCTGAAAACAGCTCTACAGTATTTTGATGTAAAGAGGGCCCCTTCCTCCTCCACCACCAGCCCAGTGTGTCACCTCCAGACGCGGCCCAGCTATTTCCGCCCTCCCGCAGAGAGCATCTGATCCGGGGAGCAGTGGATGTGGACTGGGCCAGCCTGTGGATCGGCTCTCGCTGAGCCCATGCTGAAGAACGAACTG